GAATTCGTTAACTCCACATTATTAAGCAGTCTCCTCTAAATTTTCGCGCCAATGCAAGTCAGTAAGAAAAGTTCTGTGTCAGATCTTTAACTGCGGGATGCAACTGGAAATTTGACTATGCAACGGATTGATGTATATATATATATATATATATATATATATATATATCACTTGTGATGGTTGTGCACCCAGTTTGCAAAGCATGTCCTAGTTTGGAACACTAGCATTGCATAAGGACTAGTGACGACTTATGTAAAATAGTCAATGCACATTCGCATGCGCCAACATTCACTAAACTATTGAAGTGATACTTTGCTCGTTTGTATAAACATTTCTAGGATGTGTCATGTTTCGAGTAGAATATTGCCTGAGCAAATTTATCATAGAAAATGCTCATAAAGTTGAGCAAAACTTATGCTACCCTATATACAGGCAATTTCCCACGTCCATAACTGTCTTAGAACTAGCTTGCGCACCCTAGTATGTTGTTCTTTATGCGGAGAGTAATTTGACCTCCAGAGTAATACAAAACAAGGCATGCCGCATTTGAAGATTGATTTCTTGTGAGACTTTAATCACGGAAAGACGGTTAAGAACAAACAGGTTATTTTTAGAGAACCAAACATTTCCCGATTTTCAAAAGTCGGGTTTGCAAACCCATTAATTATTCCTTAAAGTGTAATGATAACGCATACAGGCAATCCGCTGTCCAAACCTGCCGCAAAAGTGGCCAAAGTCAGATAGTTATTTTAGGATTTAACCGCATGTAATTATACTTCTTGAGCAATTAAGTTTCCTCTTATACATAATTTATAAAGAAAACGGAAGAGAGGTTAGAAGGTTTGAAAATATTTTTGTATTTTTATGACCACTGTGCTCTGCATTCCTTTTCGTATAACGGAGCCTAAAAGTAACCAAAGAGATCGAAAATGACTTCAGTACGCAAAAAGAGAGAAGTTTTCTGCTTGCGGAAAAAACGTATCAGTGGTTTTCAGGGAAGTTAAAAAGTAGTCAAACGTTCCATTTTTTGATTTACCGCCGAAAACCTAAGGTACGTAGTCACCAATCAAGAAAATACAGCATTAAAGCACTTTTAAAATGGATGACTTACTGGAAAACGTTTCTAAATTGATCGCGGGACCCATCACCAGGTGCTCTGCACCTCCGGATTGGGTATGTCTGGCCGACGACGGTTAGCAATTTATAAGTGTCTATTCCAGTCTCCCTTGTCATTGTCGGTAATGCTATACTACAGTATCTATCTCTGTGGGCAATCGATTTGAGGCCCCATTAATCATGAAGCATTTTTTAAAAACTGAAGGACGATCTGAAACTCAATGAACTCGACCATCACCAAAAACTTGCATGTATCTGATGTAAACAGTTTTCTTAATTTACGCAAAATTGTATGCTAACGATCACGTCTGCACGGGCGGTCAACATGTGACCTTATTGAACCTTTCCTGAGGCGTCGCTATTAGGTCCTTTTTATCGTTTTCCAATACTTGCATTATGTGGCCTACCAAATGTGGCGCAAGCCGAAATTCTGAAATACGTTTTCAGCTAGGAAGGATTGCTGGTCAGGTTCACAACTATTTGGGAATTGCCAAAACGTCCTTAAAACCGAATCATATCCTTTCTTCCGCGACATTCGCGCAACTCGGTGACTGATCGTCCCGTGCAAAGTGTAAAGTTAATTGTTGCCCCATGAAAATAAGCAGACTTCCTTAACATTTATACTCTGAAAGTAACTAATGTTCTTATGACAAATAGCGTCAGTAGGCGACGCAAGCCCTAAAGTCGACGCTGAAAAATTATAAAACTATTTTTATGACACGCAGACGTTGTGCGTTTTATAGAGTTGCCCAATATGCTCTTGAAAAGGCTCTTTCCCTGGCAGAATTGGTTTATAACTATATTTAACAAAAACCTTTATGGGGTTAACTTTTTTCAAGCCAAATTCAGGCATTAGTGCGCGTGATTTCATCAAAAGTGATAATGCAGACGTGATGGAAGTACCGAACGACGTTTGCGCACTTAACATTAAATTTTTATGTACATATTTCAGGTGAACCAGATCACGATAAGCACGTCATTTGTAACATATCAGGAATACATTCCTCTTTAAATTTTGAAGTCTTCGAATTTGTATGACGCCGTGCCCTACAAAAAGAATTAACTCCAAAGGGGAACCCATTGGTTTAAAATGAGCATATTTCATTTGCCCATGCAAATATGACGGGGGCACCCGCCATTAGGAGTCATTTTAACCTCTAAGCATAGGAAATGTGATTTTTATGCCGTTCAGTTTCTACTGTATAATTTATAGGTACGTTTGGCAGAGCATTTGCGGTGTGAGTTGTATTTTGCGTTTGTGATTCTGTGGCGTACTTGTAGTCGTATAAGATAGTCCGAAGACAAGCAGTGATAACGAGCAGGGCTCATATATAAACATGGCGTTTTTCGTTCGTGGTGTACAAGCATATCTGAGAAAGTTTTCCGACTGTTTAAGAACATATTCTTTGATGGCCCTTTTTGTGGGATTCACCTTTCTTCGGCAGTTGGGTCTCATATTTGAGTAAGTGTAAAAATATCACCTTAAGCTCCTTAGGCATACATAGAGCACCCAAATAGCTTGCCAGTTAGGTAAGGGTTTCCGATCACTGTATTATGTTGAAGGGTATTACAGGCACAGGAACACATAAGATTATAAGTATCCGGAGACATTTATAAGAGATACTGAAACTCAGGCAACTTCGCCATTGCCAAAACACACAGTCTTGCGAAGGGAACGTCCTCTCGGCGGACAAAACATGGAATGTTTACGCTTTCATTGGCTAATTTCATTCGAATTTCTCAGACATTGTTTGTTCTCTTGGCTCGTGATCTTACGACACATTAATTTTGCTAACGCCTCTGTCTGCAAGATCAAGCGAGATTGTTTTTTCACTGGTCATTTGCAGCTTGATCAATGTGAAAACCTTGAAATCACATCACATTATTGTAACATTTTGGAACACACATTAAAAATTAGGCAACTGATCACATACCACACTTCGCATCGCATTATCTCTCGGAAAAAATCCTATCCAGCAATAAGACTATATACAGATATTGAATGTTTAATTAGAAAACGACTAATAGCAGGATTTGAAATTAACAATCGGAAACATTGTGCTTTGTGGCCAGCTCCAAAATTCGAATGAACATTGAAGTCGAAAACAATTAGCTGATGTTAAATAATTGTGCAATGCCCATTCTACAAACAAACAGTATCACAAGTTACATAGGCATTTCATGCTTTAGAGAACGCTGAGGACAAATGGAGGAGGAAGTTTGTACGGAATGACCTGTGTCACAAGTATGTATAAAGATTTCTAAAATCTTAATTTGGTTATGCTGTTTTGTCTATTCATCTATTCGCACAGACACGCTTTGGTTACTTCTAAAAATCATGTTTGCTGGTTTTACGGACTGTTTCTCACGTCCAGCGTTCCTGATTTTTCTTTTAAATGTGCTACTTCTTAAAAACGCAGTATCTACATCCGTAAATGTTTTTTCTTTTTGTTTGGCTGAAGGCCGTTTTTTTATTATGTGAGGGTATTGATAGAGGTATTTATCCCTATTGCCCATTACTTGGAGATTTTTATTCAGTTATGCATATTTCACATGCTACGCCAGCTATTGTAGCCGTTCCGAATTTATTTGTCCCTTAAATACATTTATTACTTTCTCAGAAGGTGACTGACATTCCTTTGCATACGGCTTTGGAACCCACGGTTGATAGACTATACGTATATTTCAGGAGGCGTCCGAGGGGACAATAAATTATATATTTCTCAAATTCAGCTTGGTATTTTAAGCACCATCCACTTTGTATGATGTCGGATTATTTTTCAAAGACATAATGACAGTTCGACCGTCGATTTCGACGATGTCCACCGTGTGCCCCACAGTTGCAGCAGCAATGGGAGCAGGGACGGTGACTTACGCAGGGGTTTATAGTGCGGGTAGACTTGCGCTGCATCTACCTACACTCTCTCCTCCTCCCCCGCCTGGGCCCGGTGTCAAGACAGAGTCAAGAAGACCGGAGACGAGGGAGGCCGCAGGTGGATGGCTCGGACGGATCCTCACCTTGGCGTTCCACCACACCCCCTGGTCCACACAACAATAAACAGGATTTGAACCAACACAACATAGATTTGGAGGCTGGCACGGCCGAAGCCGCACCTGGGCGTGCCGCCAACGCCTGGCTCGGATCCCACACTGTGGTGGGAGTGCCATAAAGGCCACATTAAAAAGGAGCCATTGCAGCCTGACTCTCAGACCGCCTCCAGTAATGGAGGAGGTCCAAGGTACCCCGTCAGTTGGCAACCTTCCAAGCCACGGCTTTTAGCGCACAGTGATAGCTTCAAGCGCGTCAGATTGTTTATAGTGAGGAAAATGCGCTGAGTCGTCGACCTCACTCTCCCTTCCCATTCCCACACCCCAGCCACTGTCCGAGCCGGTCAGTAGACTGAAGTGGGGAATGGGCGCGGTGGCTGACATGGTCGACTGACCATGCCTGCGCGCGCCACAGCACGACCTGGCCCCCCATACACACAAACACCAGGATTTCACACAACGGGGGTTGAACGGCGTGTCTCTCACATGCGTGAGAGGGCCGTGGAAGGTGTTGCTTCAGCCCGTCCCCAGCCCACCAGTCCGCCACTACACAACACACACACACACACACACACACACAACGTGACGAACTGCGTGAACCGAGAACGGGCGTCAATCAGCAACCTTCCTATCCACGACACTTGACGTGTCGGGATAGTCTCGGACTCAAGTCACTCGTGCAGCCGAGGCCTCAAGGGACCGAGTCGAGATGCACACTTCCCACTTGCGTGGGAGGCGGCAGTTGAATGCATGAGGTGTGTGAGGGTTGACGTCTAGTGGGGTGATGATGTTAGGAGGTAGGGAGTGAGGGAATGTGTGGTGTGACCGGCGGTTGTCTACCGCAGGTCGTTGTGGATGCGCATGTGGCCGAATAGACCCATGCGATGCGTGAAGGTGCGAGGGCAGTGTGGGCAGTGGAGGCGAGTGCGGTGGGTGTAGGTTGGTGCTCCAGGCACTGGTTCGCCAGTCTCTGTGCGATGGATTCGCAAGTGGCCGACCGGGCCGATGCGTGAGGTGAAGGTGCGTGGACAGTGTGGGCATGAGAGGTCGGCGGTGTCGGTGTCAGCTGTAGAGGAAGCAGTGGTGTTGGTGGTGGCGGTGGTGGTGGTCGGCGCGTGTGACGGTGGGGCGAGGATGGGTCTGGGCGTGTTGGATGTCGTGGCTGTATCAGAATTACGGTCAATGCCGCTCTCGTGGATGCGCATGTGGCCGAATAGACCCATGCGATGCGTGAAGGTGCGAGGGCAGTGTGGGCAGTGTAGGCGAGTGCGGTGAGTGTAGGTTGGTGCTCCAGGCACTGGTTCGCCAGACTCTGTGCGATGGATTCGCAAGTGACCGACCAGGCCGATGCGTGAAGTGAAGGTGCGATCGCAGTGAGGGCAGATGTAGTTCGGGCCCTCACATCTGCTGATGGAGGTTGCAGGGGTTGTGCCTGTTGTTGTGCCAGGTGCGGCTGTGGTGAAGTCGTGCGCTACAGACGCCGGAGTGGCCGTCGTTGTGGCAGTGAAGGAGGAAGTGGAGGAGGAAGGGGGGGAGTGAGGGGTGGTAAGGTCGGTGGCGTCGATGTCGGCTGGGCAGTGTATTAACAGTACTTTAAAGCCTGTGGGCGGCAATGTGCTCGATCAGAAGGTATCACGATCATGGGAGCACATATATTTACTAGTAAGTCCACTGTCTTTTGAATTTACTTCGGGGATTAGGTGCTAGTCGCCGCAAAAGTGCAAGCATACAGCAGGTAGTCTAATTCAAGAAATTTTATGAAATTTGCACGGACCCACGCTGCGTTCTTCAAAGTTTTACGGCGGCAAATAAATGCCCGTACTTAAAAATAAAACATAGTTTATTTTGTAAATTAATGTTCACTAATATCAAAATAATAAGTATCCACAAAAAGGCTAATTTCAGAAAACATCCACATTCACAATCGCTCAGTCAAGACTACTTGTAAGGATGCATGAGAGTGCACGAACAAAATAAAGCAAAAATACAATAACAAATACAAAAAATCAGTACTTCATTGGCTGACAATTTGCAGTCAAAACAACACAAAATTTGTACTTAGGTTGTATGATATACCATGCCCGAGGGCATACGTACTAGCTAAGAGCGCAGACCTGTGTTTTCTCCGAGTCCTCGCAGCCGTAACACGCGGCGACAGAATACCTACAAAATACGTGCCTGGGCTTTTAGCTAGTACCTGTTCCATTGGGTATGGTATATCGTACACAACCCATGTATATACTAGTGACTGTCTGTTGGCAGTTGATGGATATTATGCGGTTATTCAGCTGAGGTTGGGGTCTCCGGTCCAAATATTCATACCAAATTTCATTCTCCAATGGACTGGCGTACTCCAGGGTAGAGATGAAGTTCTAAGGAAATTAAAAATCTGCAGCACAGGGTCTGTCAGTCGTGGAGACAGCCAATTGTTCCATGTTCCGTGTGGCTGTAAAACTAAAAATCAGACTTTACGCGCATTAAATGTCTTCCTTGTCCTGTGCCAGTTCCTTTTAATAACTGCAGAAATATGTTTAGTAGGCCTACGATCTAGACCGCTGGCAAGGATAAAAATAAATCTGAGGCTTGAAAATTTACAGCGACGAACACAAGCAACATCGGGATAAAGTATGGTCTTCCTTAGGCATCAGTGAATGGAGTTGTAAAAGCGGGCATTTTTCGCAATGTCGATGAACAGCTTGCTGTTAATAGTATTAAATGTCCAGAGCCAGGCTAACCGCTGTCTGAATAAGAATGATTTCCAAACCACTACTTGTCTATACTTGTTGAAATGGGCTCTCTTGGAATGTCCTTGTCACGTATAACCACCTGGGTCGGCCTTACTGGCGCATTTGGAAGTAGGACCTCATCGTAAGTATAAATGCTCCTGCAGAATGAGGGTCTGCCATAAACCTTAATGTTAAAGGCGTTTTCTTATCAGTTTCCGACTTAAGATCGACTTATTAATGGCCTTTCCTTCACCCATTTCACAATCACGGTTAGAGTGAGCATTACAAATCCCCCAGTGAATGTCTTTAGCGGACCCATAATGATACTTTCTAGTGCAAGACGTCAAGGTAGCCAGCTAGTCGTTTTAATCCATCAGTCAATAATTGGCAAAAAATACATTTTTATTGTTGAACATATTAGATAGTGACGCGAATACTCCTTACATACTTGTTTGTGTCTTCTAGTTCTCCGTGCGGCAAAACAAAATACTGCCAAACGAATTTATTTCTGTATATAACGACAAAATTCTCAGGGGTAGGTCAAACAGAACTGTTGTGGGGAAATACACACTCTACTTCTTGAAAACACGGTGATTTCTATTTTCTGATTCAATCCGATTTTCAGGGATGCAAAATGAGATTTTTCAATTCATAAAGGAATTCAGCTGAAGCCTTATTGCTTATATTAATTATCTTTTACAGCACACCGCGCACAAAAAGAGTTTTCAGCTTGTGCTATTTGACATTGTAAGAAATTCTTTTGGATATCAGGAAACTCCCGATTTGGCCTAGAACTGTACGGATTTCCTTTAAAAAAATCTGAATTGAACTGAATTCTGCTTTTGTAAAGTGCCGTTACCCTCGAACCGACTCGTCAAAACTAGCAAAGCCAACTGGATGTCATATTACTGGCTGGAATGTTAGTCCCGAAATTTCGTGAGATCCACCACCTGCTCTACACTCTGAGCTGGCAGTGTGTCTGGGAGACCCGGGGTAAATACTTCCCACACCAATAACTGGAACATGGAAAAACCTGCAAACTGATGTTATATAACTTTAAATTTTACCAGCCCTCGGAAACGCTGTCTGATTATTGCAGTTTATTAATTCGATACATATCGGCTCCATCTACGGTCAAACCTCCAACAATTGATTAGTTTCGTTATTGGAACGTTAAGTTCTAACACAGGCAGCATTAAATGTCTGACTAACCAGGAGGCTAAACAGTCGTGAAGTTCAAGTTGTCTATTGTAAGAACGGTAGTATGTAGATTAACATTAAACACAAGAGCGTGCGGTGTAATGCCGTAGTTCAACTCTACAGCTCCGGAATGGTCTGATTGGATAGGATGCTGTCTAATGTGGTGTTTCTTGCTACTCGGTCAGAAGAATAGCCCCGGTTGCGCTTTATGATTGGGTAGCAAACAGACAGTCCGCTACTGTTGTCCGGCCGAATTTATTTACATCAGACGCCAGTACCAGCACGCATCAAATTTCCCTACCGTCCAGAGGGAAGCAGGATGCTAGCGAAGGTTTGGGGTAGATGACGTCGCACAGACACCACCCTGAACCCAGCGGAATGTTCAGAAAAGTCGATGGAAACAGTTACATCACAAGCTCTCTGTGTTTTAAGCGCGCGTGAACTTGCCTCGGTATGTTTTTGGCACAGACGTCATTTAAAGCCAAGGCGCATGCGTTAAGAGAGCCTTTTGGTTGCATACCGCAACCGTGACAAGTCAGACTCGTCAGTTTTTAGTCTCCAGCCTGAGAGATGGTGCGTTTTGGCCCTGGTAGAAAATGGGAAGTCTTTCTAACCAAAGTCGTTGGATGAGTATTTTTAAAGATTTAGAAGAAGAAGATACAATCACCGGATCAAGAAGTTTGTTGACCTGGCGTTTCGGGTTCACACTCGAACACATCACCAGAGACCGTCGCAGATTAGGGTAGTGGAGGCACAAGGACTGCAGTATTTGTAGTACGTAGCTGCGATGGGACCAGATGCGTACTATAATTAACAGCTCTCGCGGTCGCATCTAGGGGTCGTAATTGAGTCGACGATGGCTCGTCAGTCCGCGTCCGAGTGGTCAACTGGTTCAATTTCATAATCTACTTTGTATGTTGGCGTGATGATTACTCGGCGAGCCGAACACGAAGCAGCGGTGAGGAGGAAGGACGCCAGCTCTCAGGTGGCGGCTCATTCCACGGGACCCGGCCGTATTTTCAAGTTTCAGGAAGTCGAAATCCTCGCAAGAGGTGAAAACCGCGTGAGCCGCGAGCTGCTCGAATTATAGTACCCAGACCCGCAATCCATCAACACGCGCACCGACCTCTCTCTACTATATTCGGTGCTGTGACTTACCATGGACAGGGTAATCGGTCACGTGGGAAGGGCGCGAGGTACCGCCTCTTCTTCTGCTAAACTACTTCTTGGAAGCGGCCGTTCGCTTTTATTCGTCGGGATTGTTGTGTAAAAATTTCTTGTAGACAACCCAGTTCAGACATTAACTGCGAGCTGGGAGTAGATCGGTATATTTTAGGCCTGTAGGCGCAGACCAAAATTTTTATGTATGAATATTTGGACCGAAATCCGTTAGCCACAGCGGGTAATCGCGTAATATTTAGCAGCTGCCGACAGGCACCTAGCAGTATACGTTTTGGGGTATGGGGTACCATACTAACAGCACGGGTACTAGCCAAAAGCCCATTAACGCCCGTTTCGCCGATATTCTGCCATCGCTCGTCGGTGGGTCCCCCAGCATTACTCATCTGCTTTCTGAGAGATATTCCAATTTAGAAATTCTTTGCTTTTTAATCTCCTCAGAAGCTAACTGTGAACTTGGGGTATCTACTCTTAGTTCTTCCCTTCATGCACATTAAGTAGCATCTAACTCTATCCTAAGGCGCCAGTAGCGTTGAACACTAAAAGAGCGTTCACCAGTGAGGTTGCAGAACGTTCTGGACCCATCGTGTCGTGGGACGCAAACTAAAGCCCGCACAGACAGTCTCACAACGACTGCTGGTCGTACGGGAAGGAGTCTGGAAGAAAACAAGAAGAACTGGGAATGGTCAATCCTGGCTTGTTAGCCGTCACCAGCCAGCCTTACCCCCCTCCAAGTTTAAATTACATGGAATTTGAAATAACATTTTGTTTGCCGCTGGAAGTTTTTAAGTCCAACGCCCTGTCAACCAGCCACAAGCCCGACGCCCTTCTTGTCGCGAGTTGGAATATTTTTTTCTCACAGAATAGGTGTTCGCCGATCAGGTTATGGGACGTGACGACGGTCAATACACCCGACACACCATCCCCATTTCTCCTGTCCAGCCAGTGAGAGTAATACTGTTCATTTTTCAAGTACAGTGTCCTCTCATAAAATGTTAACCGAAACAATGAAATTCGTTTACATATCGGAACAATTGCTTAAGTGGTGTTGTGGGATTAATTATTAGGCAGTATAATCCCAGGATATTTCAGTCACGTCTGGATGCTAGCTTTTGAATGACCTCCTTTTCAGCCGTCTGCATAAACTGCACTCTTAAAAAACTCACTATTTATGTAGTACGAATTTTCCCCATTGATTTCCCATGTCCTTATTTTATCGAAAATGCGCATAAAAATATTCTCTTTCACTATTTTAATTGCAAATTATACCATATTCAACTTTTATGCTGAAGGGCGGTATGTTCCGGATTTAAAAAGTTTCTAATCATACGGGTTTTCCAGAAAGAAAAAAGTCCAATTGTACAGCATCGTATCAAAAAATCTGTTGATGCTGCTTATAAAGTGAACAACGTTGTCCGCAACCATTATAAGATTTTATGAGCCCTATCTGTCTTCCTCAGAATGGCATATAGGACGGTATGATTTGCCGTACACGGCAAGCATACAAATTGTGGTTTGAACCTATGACGGAAGGTCGACCTTTAAATTATATGGGAGCCCAGAAAGTTGTTAAGGGCAAAAGACGTTCATTCTTCCAGTATTAAATTTGAAGACGTTATTTACCTCCAAATGAGTAAAAAAAGAATATTTTTTGTGCATACTTTGCGCAAAATATATTTGAGTTTATATGGGTGTCAGTAAACAATGGAGGGAATTCGTGTTATTTAAATAGCCATTTCTTACAGAATACAGTTTTTCAAGCCGTCGATTAGATAGTCATCCTAAGTCCCTCATCTCGACATTACGTGATGGGATGGTAATTATAGCAACTCTGCTTAGGTAGTCTTTTCGGATTGAAAACGCATTGGAATAGCTTGGTTAAAATTTCTTGAAAGAGCCTGTCTGCTCTATTATTCAAAATTTTCGACAAAAATCACTCCATCCATTTTGACCGCGATATAAATTTACAAATGATCAACGGTAACTAGGTTTGCATAAAAGTAAGTATCTATTAAGGTGACAGTTCAAGTCTTCGTTTCTACATTTTTCTTTCTTCAAACCGATGGTGCCGTGCCAGAAATGGCAGTACAGAATGCTCATATGGCGATTTACAGCAGGAGATATTTCGGTAGACGCGGAACATGGGGCGGGGGGATTTCGCAACAACTAATGCAAAGTGACGAGATGGACATCGTCATCCAGAGTTCGGTCGGAGGAGGAGGATGAGGAGGAGGAGGAGGAGGAGGAGGGGAAGGGTAGAGGAATGGAAAAGCATCTGCTTACACATTTTTCCACAATATCCAACACACCTCAACGTGAACGGATGAACTCTGAGATATGAGGTCTGTTTATACAACAATCCAACATATGAGTAGAGCGGACGACCAGTCACAGGTTTAAGTCTTCTTATCCATGATCTGAAATATTCCAGGTCAGATAGGACTGACACCTAGCCGATCTTATTGCCGGATAGTTGACCGCCGAGTTCAATGCCGCAGACTAATTCAGAAGGAACATTGCAAAAAGGTCATGGGGGTTGAACGGTTTCGTTTTTTGTCTTATGTGCTGTTACCAGCTAAACAAATCACATCGCCATATTAAAACCCTAATAAGCGAACCTTTGGAAAATCTGAACCGAGGGTACTACCAGCCACGTCATGGGATCATGTGCTGCCGGCTGTTGACTGAGGGTGGTGCAGAGTTACCAACCAGGTTCGGCCTTCAGAAGTCGAGGATTCAAGCAGATTCTTCTTCGCAGCTCAGTGCATACGTCTCTTCTCAACTGTTCGAACCGCACGCTATGAATTTTCCCATGAAAATTGCGAATTCGGAAAAGTCGAACAGCAGGAGATTGGTAGACGTCAGTCACTCTGCTTAACGAACTTGCGCACAAAAAGTGGACTAAACAGGCTTAAATGATCCCACAGGGAGACATATAACCTGAATGGAGACAGCTGGTCATTTACTATGTCGCAGTTGCTGTTATATATCACATCTGGAGTTTTCACGGAAACTTCTTCCAAATCAGACCGTCTAGTGGTTAGGTCAGTCACTGGATTGATCTCAGAAAACGCAGCCCACATACCTACCCCACGCCGTTGTCCTGGCAGTCATACCTCGTGTTGCTAATTTCTCGTTGCTATGTGATCGACTGCGAGAAACGCAGACCGGAGCCCAAGGCAAGACAAGTGTGACCCTATTCCGTCCTGAAATTTGGTCAAATCGGGGAGCAGCTTCTCCATATGACTCAGCACTCTCCACCTCAGCCGGGGAGGGGGAGCGGCATACCCATGACTCCAATGGCGGAACGACTGGATTGAATCCAAGTCGCCAAGACTACTAGCTACGAGCCGGGGGGGGGATTCGTACGGCTTGAGATTGAGACAAGACAGACTGGCTGGATTTCGTTTCTGTGTCGCTGCTATGACTATAACATTTTTTAAAGTTGTTTCATTAGGTTATTCCAGGATTCATAACAATCTATTTTCAGTGGTTTCTGGCAATCAGACAACAGTTGTCGCATGTGTTAACGAAACTTTTGTTCGTCAATTAAAATTCAAAAAGGGGCCAGATCGCAGTTGGAAGCCAGGCTTCGTATTACAGGTGTCTTGGGGTTTGTTTACTGGGGCTTTTTGTGGGGCTTCATAATCACATCTGACCCATTTGGCTTCCGTTTTACGTTTGAGGTTAAGATTAGGGTGCCGGTTAATGGTATCCGATTTCGGGGTTAGGTTTATGCCCTTTAGGCTTAGGTTTGGGATTGAGTTTACTATTAGGTTTCCGTACTACGGTCAGGTTTTAAGGTAAGGGCTATGCCTAAGGGCTACGGTTACGTTTACGATTTCGGTTAGGAATGGGGTTAGGGTTGCCGTTTGGGTTAACGGTTAACGTTTAATGTTAAGGTTAGGATTATAGCTAAGGTCGCCGTCCGCTTCCCCATTCCTAGCTACCAACTGCGATCTAGCCCAAAAAGGATTTAGAATACCTTTACCGACCAGAGGGAGAGATCGGAATGACCATTTCCGGCTTGACGGTCATCATCAACTAATCATACCCGAACCGGAAGTGAGCAATCCCTAAGGCTCGAACTCGCAACCTGCTGGTTAGAAGTTCAAAGTCCTAACCGCTCAACCGCAGGCTCGTTGTCCTGTCGATTGCGACAAGATATATTGACTATGGTAAGAGATGGCGTGCTTGAAAGACATTCGGTGCATCCGATCCCCACAGTGGCCTGTTCTGTAGATGCGAAGGACGAAAACGGGTATTACTTTGGCTCACTGCACATTTTTGTAGGGCCATGTTGCGTCCGCGCAAGCCCCATAACTACTGCCGCACATAGGAAACGTGGTGTCACGCCTAGCCTCAGTCCTTCATGCCGCGTCCCTCACTGCATCCAGTCCCATCGACGAGAGTTCGGCCGTCAGTTTCAACCCTGCCCACCGTGTGCTTCAAACCAAGGTGAGAGCAGGCACTACGAGTTGCGGGTGAGTTATTTTGAAGTGACAGGAGATTTGCGTACCGCACTGTCCCCTGCCCCCACCTGTGCCCGGTGTCATGAACAAGTCAAGAAGAACAAAGGTGGGAGAGGCTGTGGGCACCAAAGCGCACCACCACATCCTACTGCAGTGGGTCCCTCTCAATGTGACCTCTGAGGAGCTCGAACGCATCTGTGGAAATATAGCACCCGGTGCGTGAACTAGTAGTTTGTCTTACGAGTGTGGTAGAGCGTTCGGATGCAGGTTTACTTCGTGCCAATCACCTGCACCTTCTCCCGCCTCCGGTTTCTTGACTCCGGCATGACAACGGGACCCGGTGAGGGGGGAGCGAGTGCAGTAGATGCTTCCCAAGTACCCTATCGCCATGAAGTAATATATGCGCAGTTCGCTGTCTCTGCACCCACCCAGTTCCTCTACGATTCATAACAATCTATATCCAGAAAAAGAGGTGGAGAGCATACGCAGCTTTCGATAAATTCTCGTCGGGCCAGTACAGTTATATAGGAACGGGGTAGAAGTAAAACATTTTAGCGATAAGAGATATCGATAAAAGTTCTCCTTAAAACACAGGCGGGATGTGAGAATGTGGGGGAGGAGGGGGAGGGGGGTAATAGCAGTCACTGTCAGGGTCGGGGTGAGAGCGGAAGTGCGCGGGGAGGGTTGCAGCGTTAGTCGACCTTCGACCACTGTAGGCGCGCAGCCTAAACGTGGTTCTTCTGTGCGCATAGGATTGGCTTTCGTAACCTAATGGCGGCCGCTTCCGCTGACCTAGTAGCTTAGGGTAACTTGATGGGACCTTGTGAATCACATGAAAAGCGTCGCTGGGGTCCACACGATGTCCGGAATCATCAACATGCGCGAGAATGACGCTGCTTATGCTCTTCGTTTCGCCTTTTCCCAGCCATGGCGGGAGGTGTTTCCGTATTCTCTTGGATAAGCGCCGACTCGTGCGACCAATATAACCTGCCCCACAGGAGCGAATGAAGGAATACATGCATATTGAGGTGGTCCGCGGTGGCAACTTATCCTTACCTTCTCCGCGTAAAATAGGGTTATATTTGAACACTTGCTGTTGGGAAGGTTCGCGAGACAGCTTGATCAAGGCGTCTCCTTAGGAGTTCACTCGCCTCTTACCTCTCCCCCACATTCCCACACCCAGCCTGTGTTTTAAGGCGAACGTTTACGATTTCTCTTATCGCTAACATGTTTTACTTCTACCCCGTTCCTATATAACTCTACTGGCCAGACGATAATTTATCGAAAGCTACGTATGCTCGCCACCTCGTCTTCCGATTACTGCTATAGGAACTTTCGCATCTCTAATCTATATTCAGTTGTTTCTGGCAATTAGACAACGGTTGTCGCGTACTTTAACCAAATCTTTTTCAATAGCGCTTTGTTCGTCAATTAATATTCAAAAAGGGTTTAGAATAACGTTACCGACAAAGGCAATGGAGATCGGGAAGACTATTCCCGGCTTAATGGTCATCATAAAACAGCCATGCCGGAATCGGAGGTGTGCAACCCCCAAGGCTCGAACTCGCGACCTGCTGGTTAGAAGTTCAAAGTCCTAACCGCTCAACCGCAGGCTCGTTGTCCTGTCGATTGCGAAAAGATATATTGACAGTGGTAAGGGGAGGCGCGTTTGAAAGACATTCTGTGCATCCGATCCCCAATGTGGGCTGTTCTTTGGATGCGAAGGACGAAAACGTGTATTACTTTGGCTCACTGCACATTTTGTAGGGCCATGTTGCGTCCGCGCAAGCCCCATAACTACTGCCGCACATGGGAAACGTGGTGTCACGCCTAGCCTCAGTCCTTCATGCTGCGTCCTTCACTGCATCCAGTCCCATCGACGAGAGTTCGGCCGTCGATTTCAACCCTGCCCACCGTGTGCTTCAAAACAGACGTGAGATCAGGCACGAGGAGTTGCGGGTGAGTTATTTTGAAGTGACAGGAGATTTGCGTACCGCACTGTCCCCTGCCCCCACCTGTGCCCGGTGTCATGAACAAGTCAAGAAGAACAAAGGTGGGAGAGGCTGCGAGTGGTGACGGGACGAAACCCGCACCAAAACGTACCACCACATCCTACTGCAGTGGATTCCTTTCAATGTGACCTCTTTTGAACCCTAAAGCAGCTGTGGAAATATAGTACCCTGTGCGTGAACTAGCAGTTTGTCTTACGAGTGTGGTAGAGCGTTCGGATGTAGGTTTACGTCGTGCCAATCACCTGCGCCCTCTCCCGCCTCCGGTATCTTGACTCCGGCATGACAACGGGGCCCGGTGAGGGGGGAGCGAGTGCAGTAGATGCTTCCCAAGTACCCTATCGCCATGAAGTAATATATGCGCAGTTCGCTGTCTCTGCACCCACCCTGTTGTGGAGTACGTCATCATCATCATCATCATCATCATCATCATCATCATCATCATCATCATCATCATCATCATCATCATCATCATCATCATCATCATCATCATCATCATCATCATCATCATCATCATCATCGTCATCATCATCACCATCATCCTTGAAATTAACGACCTTCCTGGCAGTGTCTTGCCACTGGAGACAGATCTGTGCGTGAGGTGAGACTGTGGTAGCTACTGCACAAGTCTGCATAAATGTGGTCGGATTCACGCTCTAGTCTTGTGGAGGGCTTTTTATTCGAGCCACATGGTCGCCGGGATTATTGTTATTTTCCTTTCCCTTTGTACGGAGACGTAGACGAAAACAAATGCGAAGGCGATACTCACAGAAGGCTAAGTCTAACCCAGACTGAGAAATCTGTTGTTTATTTTTTTCGTCGGAAACGGGACACACTGGATGCAATTGCGTGCGAGAAATATAAAACAGACTGCGTAGAATGCGAAGTTTTTACTGCACCTATTGTTTGTTGTCAGTGATATACTTCCCTTCATTGCAACAAATAGGGTGCTCAAAGGCGTAACAACTACATTTTTCTTAAATAAGCTGGACTGAATATCGAGGAAGCTTCCCAGTGGCACACCTCTACCTCAGTTTACTGAAGCGATTACGCACGACAGTAAGACGAAACGGCTACTTTTTGACGTTGTGAGGAAAAAACTGAATTTTACCCATTTGTCATTCTAACGCGCCGTCTCATTTGCTCTTTCAAATTGGTTCTAATCCGACTACTCCCTGCCCGTACGTACCAGATTAGTTTTTTTGTCCGACTCCTTATTGGTTACTTTTGTCTCATAGATTTTTGCGCGCAAAAGGGTGACGGCTATAAAAAATAAACACCCAGACCAGACAGTCGGAAGCAGACAAAACCGGATGCGATACCCAACCCCACAAACTGCTGTACATTTTAATAAATGATATTTGCCTAACCGACACTTTTACTTATTTATAGTATGTTTTTCCTTTTGGCCAGATAATTCCTTGCTTGCGTTGTCGCGACCATATGTTGCTCGGACCTACTGTAGGTCGGCTTGTGGTAAAGGCTATTTAGACCGCGATAGAGGTAGGTGCAAGTGAGGCCGACATTGCGTAATTCATCCTCACAACTCATCAGCCCTCTCCCCATTATAATAAATCTGGCGCACCTGACTCCACCACTACGGACTAAGAGTCTCAGACGGGGAAGTTTCCTGTCGATTGGGATGAGAGTGAGACTGCAACAAACCTTCTACACCTCACGCGCGTCGAACGCTCTGGCTAGCTGTGAGGCCTTGTGAGCACGCGCCCCCCTATTCCTCCCCTAATTTGTCCAATCACACGACCAACACTCCGCCAGTCACCCCCTTCTGCTGACCCAGACACTCACTCCCGCGTAATCAACACACCGCGACTGACGGTCTCCGTGAACGGACGCTTATCTCTGTTTCAAGCAAACAGCCAACTTACGGCAACCTGCCCTGTGTATAGAATAAACTAGTCCTAACAGCTCCCTGACACTAGACGAAACGAACTTATTGTGCGTGGTTTAAGTTGATCTCGCATCCTTGACCGCCACACCCCTTCTCAATATCGTGTCTTTGAATTGTTCGCTCATTTGCGTTCGCAGCCGTCCTTACAAATGCCTGGAACAGCTGGGGCGGGTATCGTGCCGTATGTGGTACGCGCAAATGGGCTAGTTGGCTTTTTCAACAATTGCACTCAAGGTCACTCACCGACTCACCCAAGGTCGTCCTGGCTCTGTCCCGCTGCTTGGCCCTGGTGTGTGTTGGAAGGGGGGGGGTGAGGTAGATACATCGCAGGTCCCCCTCCTGCACTCATCACGCTGTGGGGTACACGGTGGACGTTGTTGTTCGTGACCGTCAAACTGGCATTTAGAGCGCGCAAAGATGTAGTAGTCATAAAATGAGCTGTTTTGGGGCAATTAATCAGTATTTTCGCAAACGCAATTGCATGCAAGCTTGTAGGATACGTTTGTACGCCATCTCTAACCGCAGACCTCATTTTCACTTGTCGGTTGTTCGACCTCGCTGAGGGACGCCCTGAAATAGAGGCCATTTAGGATAGAGGGGCATATCTAATAAAATTTGAGCAATAACCGTTTAATGTACCATCGATTAGATGAGTCTGCAGGGTTGATTGACATCCGACATAATCCCGAGATATTTCAGTCACACAAGGGTATCGGTTTTTGAACGAAGTTCTTTCTGACCGCGTACGAATGACAATTACTTAAGTTGCATGTTGTTTTGCATTGATTTACGATGCCTCTGTAAATTCAAATATAGTATAAAGAACACAGGTACATTAATGTTTGACAGGACACGGGAATATATACTCCTCCTAGTACAGGTGACTGTTTTTAATTTCCAAGGGAGTCAGAGTTAGGTGTGGAGGTACATATCTAGGGTTTGGGGCAAGAATCAGGGTAATGGGGGTTGATTTTATGGTTAGGACTAAGGTAAGGGTTGTAACTAGGAGGTGCCTCCCCTGAATTTAGTGCCATGACGCGTGTGTTAAGGGTGGATCCATTTTTTCCGTGTCTAATTGGATATTCATTCTTGTATTTATTTGTTGGCGAATCACGTCCTCATATGTTATACTAGAAGAGGACGTGGCATTAGGTTTTAAAACCTTTTTGTAATTAAGGACAGCAAGGATAGGCTGTGTAACTCCACGAGCTTTAGTACGCATGGGTTGCTATTATATCTGTTTTAGAAGACCTTGTTTTGTTTGTTAATTCATAGCTACAGGAGGTTTCTTTGTATGTGTTACCTAGCACTTTGATGTGGCCGCACGCATCGAGTTGTTCCAGTACGACTTTTTTGTTGATGAATTATTTGGAATGATTTTCTCGCTCCCCCTCCCCGTAATTTCTTTGTCTTACCTTACTTTCCTGCTCAACCCAATGTACTTACGTTGCCTTTCCTTGTCGACTACATACGCCGTGACTAACTTATTTCTGTAGATTGAAGCAGTGTTTTCCCGGAATAAATTTGAATAAATTGAATTGTCACCTTTGCCTTATTCTAACTTATTTCTTTCGAAACAGTAGTTAAACCACTTTGTACCCTGTCTGTAATCCCCATAGCATGCGTGCTTTAAGGATCGCCGTCTGCGTTTTGGTTTACTTTATCTCAGTTAGAACACAAACACTCAGCTTCTTCGATATCTCTGAACGGTTTCTGTTGTCGGACGTGCACGCCTGGCTTATTTATTTCTTTAAGAACATCTATTCATATTCCCCCTCATAAAGAATAATAAAACCCGGTATATTTGAGTTTTGGAGAAGTTTTCCCATTCTCAAACCATTTTGAGCCTGGTCAGCCGTTGCATTAGCGTTTAGCGATTTCAGTCCACATGATGCATGCTTTCCGCGTAGGGGAAATCACACATTCCTCTGTGCCTTTAAGAAGATACCATAGTGAGTTCATAAAACATTTAAAAGGATGCGGAGTATGTTGTACTTCTCATTTGGAGCATTGGTAAACAGACAGGTACGATGCGGTATGAATGGACATTGCACGGTCTTAACAAATCGCACAACAAGGAATTTGTTAAAAGCAAAAGGCACTCTTTCTTCGAGTACAAAATGTGGTGATGACGTGATTTTTTACCAAATAAAAATAAAATAATGTGGTTTTGTGTGTGCTTTCCATAAAATCTATTTGAATTTATAGGACCACAGCTTCCAGTTTCGAAATCCTAAATGATAAATTACTTGGCATGATCGCTTTGTCTCACCCTGATTTCCTAGTTAACCAGATGTACTTGTATTGCCTTCTGTCGTCGAGTCGGTACGCCGTGACTTATTTCTTCCAGAAGAGTGGCTGAACCGTTTTGGGCTATGTTCGTAGTTACCCTTCAAGGTAGTACTTCAAGGATCGCCGGATGCGTTTAGGTTTACTTTGCCTCAGTTAGATCACAAACGCTCCGCTTCCTCGATATCTCTGAACGGTTTGTGTGGTCGAACGCGTACGCCTAACGTACTTATTTCTGTAAGAATACTTGTGCATTATCCTTCTCATTAACAATACTAAGACATGAAGCAATGTTTTCCCGGGATAAATTTGAACAAGGCGAAGGCGACAAAGCATGCAGAATTTAATGACGTCATAAATTTCGAGACCTCTCATTCAGCTGCACACGGTCATTGCATAGTTACCTATCACGTTTAAGCTCTCTAGGTCGATCGTTGATTGAACAGTTTTGCCTTGTAATATAACTATGCAATGATCGTGTGCAGCTGAATGAGAGGTCTCGAAATTTATGACGTCATTAAATTCTGCATGCTTTGTCGCCTTCGCCTTGTTCAAATACTAACACAGTTAAATCTAGTTGGGAGGTAGGATTGCCGTTGCCATTACGACATTTTTGGGACTGTTGAATTTCCATTCAAGCAGCATCGTATGTGTCAATTTATCAGTGCTGACTATGAAGTGTGAGCTATGGCTCACATCTGCTTAAAATTTTTTTGAGCCCTATGGGGTGTCCTTTTAATAGCCTAAGGGAATGTATGATTTTTTTGCAGATTGGAGGTATATAGCTTGTGGCCTGAAAACCCTTAGCAAAAGTGCAACAGCGGGTCGAGTTAAAAGCATTCGGAAATCGAAAAGGCTCTTAGTATCGAAGAATACCCGCGGTTTGTGCATAAAAGTTTAGAAAGATGTAATCTGCTGCCAAATGGGGACAAAAAGACCATTTGTGTGCATGTGTCCCACAGGGCATATTTAAATTTATAAAACCATCGAAAATCTACGTAAAAGGAGTGGCCATTTTTCCCCTGAATGGTTTTCATATGCGGTCTGAAAAAGGTTCGTTCGAAAGCCAGTATCCTCAAGAAACTTAGGTATTTTCCCAGTATGTTTTGCGATAATCAATATGACTTTTCTATTAAAATTATCCTTACTAAATGATATCATATTCTGGAAGCCCGGTTAACATTTCACAAGATAGGCCGCCTTCTGCAACTACTAAGCCTGAATGATTAAGCTAACATGGGTTGATCTGCCAAATTTAAAAGATATTGGAGTTGAAACACGGTCAAGCCAGAAAGTTTCCACAAAGAAAGCGTAAGTCTGTTTGCTTGGAATATCTAAAGCGGAAACAATTAAAAGTTAAAAATTTACCGCCCCTGACAAGTAACTTCCAAGCTGTTGTGAAAGGATTCGGTATTGATTTCCCCTCAGCTAAAACTG